AATACTAACTTCATTGTATGCTTTAATGAGAGCATGTCGTCGATTTAGCAAAGTTTTTACATGCACTATGATTAATATACCCTATTTAAATATGAATAACGATTACAAACAGGTGCACGTTAACTTGGTGGCTCTTTATAACCTCACAAGACACATACCGGGTCATCTGGCCAGAAACTCAATATGAATTAAACTATAGTCTGGATTTCAGTTTCTAAATCTCACAATCATTGACGACATCTAATCCTTCCAAGATTTCTAATACAAAATAATAATATTAACAAGTCATCTGAAGATGACACAGCCCCCATTTGATTATAGTTGGCTATGAATTATAAAGTTTGAATGTATATGTATAAAATCGGGTAGGAAGATTAAGTTGACAATCAAAAGTATGTTACTCAAAGTTAACAGCTAGGATATCTCTATTATATTTGGTAAAATTCGCATCAATTTCAACAAAACTTCACAATCAATTGAATATGGAAATTCAATTGAGTCAATATTAAATAGCAAATACATGAAGTATTAGTTCACAAGATATCAACAAAAATTCAAAATTCATTAAATATGCAAATGAGCTCGTTGAATAAATTAAAACTCAATATTGCATAGAATATATCTTATGTTGACAAATCAAGTCTCCACCAAGTTTGGTCTGATTTGGACTATTAATTCACAAGATATTAACAATAATTCGAATTAATAATTAAATATGCAAATGAGCTCATTAATTGATTCCTTGAAAAAATAAATCAATGTGCATCTGTACCAGTGGTCAATCTGTCTTTGTACCAAGTCTCAACAAAATCGGTCCAGGCATCTCCGAGAGATGATGATGGGCACACCAACAATTTTTTTCAGGATTTTGACATTCAAAATGGCCGCCAGGAAGCCATATTTTATCAAATCAGGAAATAAATCCATGTGAGTATGTATACCTCCTCACCGTGTCTTTGTACCTAATATTATTGAAATCAGTCAAGGCATCTCTGAGAAATATCAATGGGAAGACAAAAGCCACGACTAACAATCAAAATGGCTGCCAGTCGGCCATATTTCATCATTTCAAAAAGTAAAACAACGTGCATCTGTATGGGTGGTCCCTTTGTCTTTGTAACAAGTCTCAATAACATCGATAAAGCCATCTCCGAGAAATGACGATGGACACACAAGGACCGAATTTGACTGAATTTTGGCATTAAAAATGGCTGCCAGTCGGCCATATTTGATCGAATCGGAAAATAAATTGACGTGCACATGTATGGTTGACCGCTCTGTCTTTGTACCAAGTTTCAAAAAAAATCGGTCCAACCATCTCCGAGAAATCACTCCGGACGGACTGACGAAGGCGAAACTACAAGCCCCTCCCGGGTGGGGGCTAATAATCACTATATTAACACAATTCCTTTGTATGGAACAAAGTCAAATGTTAAAAGAAAATTAATAACAAACGAAATAGAAAAAAAAATGTCCATAATATTTATATGTACCTCGCATCGTTGTCTAACAAATTACCTGTCATTTTGTTTGCCAAATTTGATTTTAATTCCAGACTGACGGCCATTTTTCTAAAGAACTTTGTTCCGAAGTCATATCTTTGACATGTATTGACTGGTACATTTATTCGCTTCAGGTTCTAATTCAAAACTGCTTACTAATTGTTACATTTCTGTTTACTATTGTATGACGGGGACTGTGTCATGTCAATAATAAAATTAATCAAGTTTGTATGTTGTATTATTGACGGATACAAGTCAAAAGATAATAAATGTTATATTTAAGACAACTTTTTTTCAAAAATATTATTGTGCTAGCACAATATTGCAATATTGCTTTGATAGATAAAAAAAAAGGACTTTCATGAAGCGGACAAATATATGATTGCTACATAGTCTAATGCTGGTTGATAACACTTAGAAAGAACTCCCGTGTGCTAAGTGTATTATAGGCAATGGAGAACACATACGAAATATTTTATTTACTATATTTACCCGTCTCTAATTCACATAAATGAAAAATTGCATTTATTGCCAACAATATTATTGAGAGTGTCTTATTTTGACCACAGACTTGCCTTTGTTTGAGAATACATATACATGAGATCACATGACCATACCTGAAAATGTGGTGTTAGTCATATCTTTTGTCAAATGCCTTGTTATGGCACTGATTGCATGTGATTGCTTAATACATTACAGTTATGCATATTAATTAGGCCCATTAAAAAACTATTTTCATGTCCTTGTCTGCAAAAGTGCTTTTGATAGTACACTTATGCACAGCAAGGAGGACACATGATCCCATTTATACAAGACGGGTAATTCTATCCTCAAGTAATCCGATCTGTGGATTGTCCAAAAGCAGCTATGTACTAAATTTCATTGTAATTTGATGTGTGGTACTCAAGATATCTGTTTAATTTATGCAGTTTATGATTGAATCAGTAAGCACATAATTTGACCCTGAGCATGCATATGGCTTATATCAAAGCACCTATATACCAAGTTTCATTAAAATCGTATGAGTAGTTTGTAAATATAGTAGTAAACATTGGATGACTTATATGCAAATAAGGTCATTAATATGCACGAGTTTCATCCAAAAACTAATCAGGTATGACCATTATCCCAGAGAATATATGTACCAAGTTTCATTGAAATCTGATAATCGGTTCTTGAAATATGACACAGATAAACTAACCGCAAAGACCATACAACTTATTTTCGCTTTAAATATTCTGAAAAGCCTGCTTTCCTGGTAGAACACCATCTGTTTCTACGCAGTTAGATTACTTTTGAAATTCCGTCTGGGTCTGATTTGTGACGTCTTTATGCGCATGTTTCCTTCAAAGTTTTAAAATGGTGGCGCTCTCATTGACAACAGTCAACATGCCATTTAAGGGTTACCGATCGATAGAAGGCGCAATTACACATGGACACAAGTCGGGCATGAACTATACAGCGGCGAAACAAAACGCGAGTCAATACTTAATCATTCAATAACAAATTGATACTAATTTTAAATTTAATTTTATTATGTGTAATGATTTGTAAA